CAAGCAATAGCACACCAGACTCCAGTCATCTCATCAAGTCATCATGTTCAGATTGGACTCACTTGATGAGATGACTGTAGTCTGGTGTGCTATTGCTTGGTTGGAAAGAAGACCTGCAGCCACACGGCCCTTTCTGGAACCAGTTTGACACCTGTGTTATAAGGTAATATAAACACATGATTAAATGTACCATTGATTTTCTCACAATCAAAGAACGATTACCATGACCTTAACCGTCCATCAGTCCTGGGCAGCCATTGTTCCTCTTGTCAATCAAAGACCTCATTTAGCATACTAATGTCTGTCTGTTGTTGTGTTGCAGATTGCTGGTAGCAGCTCTTGGCATGCCCGCTACACGGTGCTCACATACCTCCAAATCATGGTTTTTTATAACCTGTTCACATTCATGAGCGATCACAGAGCAGTGAAAGATGTGCGCGGCCTGGTGATAAAACTGCTGGAGGACGAGCAGCTTGAGGTGAGAAACAAAAACCTTCAATTTCAAAAATTAAAAACAATCGAAAAGTCGTATAGAGAACGTGTTGACCTCGATCTCGTTTAAGTAGCTACAAAAGGAAAAATAAAGATACCTTCTGATTTATAAAAATCATCACCCTGGCTTAATGCTCATTTATGCTAGCAGGTGCATGCAGTGTCTTTCAGCTTTACTGTAGTGATTCAGCATTCTGCTCCTGGCTCTTTGCTCACCCTCCCCACTCCTCCTGTTTCTATGGAAACCAGTGGCTGCAGTAATCTGTTGCTATGGGGATAATGTTCAATTTGATGGAGGACAAGAGGGAGAGGCAAAGGAACAGACAAAGAATGTGTGTCTGTCAGGTGGGCACAGTCTATTTTATTTGACCTTATAAATTAACCTATGCCTTGCCTGAGGTCTAAAGCACACCTTTGACAGTAAGGTCACCTCAATGCTAAGATTACAGCAGACGTTTATTTTCCATATTGTTTTTATTTAATTTGTGTTAAAAGGATCATTTAGCCTGAATAACTCGAGTTTCTAAACTAGTGGCCATCTCTTGCCGATGGCACAGAATGTAAATTATCAAACTTTTTCCGACTATGCTGCAAGAAATTTCTGGACGTCAGTAACCCATTTGCATTAGTTGTACAATTCAGTTGAAACTCTTATAGATACAATTACTCAGTTAAAGTATTTATTTCTCTTTTCATTATTGTAAATCACTTATAACGAAAACCTCAAACCAAGTTTCTCGACTGCTGGACTGGTCAGCAGTGTTCCTCATGGATGTATAAGTCACAGCGTATAAAATATGACAAATTCTTAGAGTGAATTTTGCATCTTAAATTTTATGGTTTGATCATAAACATTAACAGGAAAAAGGACATGAAATACAACACTTGGTTTGAAATAATCTTTATAAGAATTTAACCTTTTGAATGTATTGGAATTAACATTTAATTTGGTTATACACTACAATGCACCTCTAAGGCACAAAGAGTAAATAAGACTCTGGGATGATGATGACAGTGCTATCAGATACTGCCCGTTAAATCCTTTCCTTTAGCAGATATATTCTTTGTGGTCTGCGCTGAACCAAAGTGGTTTGTTTATAGCAGTACACATAAACTTCCTGTTCCTTTTATCTTCATTTGTATCCTAGGTAAGAGAAATGGCTGCCACCACTCTCAGTGGCTTCCTACAGTGCAACTTCCTGTCCATGGACGCCCCCATGCAGGCCCATTTCGAGGCTCTCTGCAAGACACGTTTGCCTAAGAAGAGGAAAAGAGAGCTTGGCTCTGTTGTAGATACCATTCCGTCAGCTGGTAAAGAGTTCACCAGTTTAGATGTTTGGAAATGAACTACTGAAATCTGTTCCATCATCATGCACGTGGCATACAGTTGATTTTGGGATATCTTTTTAGACCTTGTGCGCCGCCATGCAGGCGTTCTCGGTTTGAGTGCTTGCATTCTCTCCAGCCCATATGATGTTCCCACCTGGATGCCCCAGCTACTGATGGACCTCAGTGCCCACCTCAATGATACCCAACCCATTGAAGTATGTCTTTTTTCTATTGATGATCAGTCCTTATGACCAGAAAATAACCACAGATTCTTCTTCTGTTCTATATTTTTTCAGATGACTGTGAAGAAAACTCTTTCAAACTTTAGAAGGACTCATCATGACAACTGGCAGCAACACAAGCAGCAGTTCACAGATGATCAGTTGTTGGTCCTCACTGACCTGCTGGTCTCCCCCTGTTACTATGCCTAAAAACCTGGTGAGCACTTTAATGTTTTAGATTGGTTTAAATAATCTCAAAATGTCCTTGCAAAGAAATCAAAGAAAATGTTTCTGTTGCTCTTTGCAATCATTTAAAAGCTACTTAAATCTCTCTTACAGTTTGTGTTTTTTTCTGTTTAGTATGACCCCAGACTACACAAACACCAGCTTCCCCTGGAGAGGAGTCCATGGTTCCTGAATGATTTAAGAAGATACATTTTCACAGAGACACATGGAATCTGCATTGCAGCCCTCAGAGGGATTCAAATCTTGTGTATTTATGTATTTAGCACCTTTACATTTCTTCTATACTTAATATTTAAGGATCAATCGTGACAGGAAGAAATGACCTGCAGTTTGTAACATAACTGTACAGATATTTTTTTTCTCTTTCTGGCTTGTGTTTCCCGCATGTAACTGGGCATGCCTGCGTGTGTGTTTAATGGATGCTTGAAGACATCTGCTAGTATGACATACATTTCTCAGGATTTTATCCCAAATATCCACTCTGAGCCGACACAATGTCCAGTGTGGGCTGCAGTCTTTACTATCTTCAGACCATGATGTGTTTGGTACAAGCCACAGAGATTGAACAATGAATCAGTGCTCTCTTGAACTTGCTACATGCAATGTTTGTTTGGTTGTTCAAACTATGAGTATCATGGTACAGAGAATATGCACAAACTGTTTATTTACTTTTTTTTTTTTGAATGAAGTTTTATTTTTTTTCCTTCATCTGAAAACATTTAGCTGGCTGAGTTGTTCGCCTATTTTCATTTCAAGGGAGAGAGCAAGCTCCCCACTGCTGCTCTGTGTGATGCGTTTGCTGTGAGGACCCGACTGTAGTGGGATCACTGTGTTATGAGTCTGCAAGAGAAAAATAGCCAAGTTTGCCTGTCCATAGATGGACCATTTCCCACAAATATATTTGACATTTTCTAAAAATCTATTGATCAAATCAATCTACCTTTGTTTTTGTCTGTTCTGTTTTTCCTTTTGACTTTATATTGTCAAAACATCAAAGCATTTAGTACCTCACAAATAGCGTAGTGCCAAAACTGCAGTGATTTCTTTTTTTTTTCCTGCTTTTTTTTAGACTCTGGAATAATAATAAACTGTTTTTAACAAAAATAGCATTTGTGACATTTTTCTTTGACATTCTACAATAAGGTACACCAGAATCTAGTTATGCTATTCTCCGTTGACTTTAAAAGTATTTGTATCTATTCACAGTAACTCAAAGACAGCGTTAATGGTTTTAGAAATAGGTGCACATACTACTGATACTGGCGCTGCATGTCTAAAGTTATTTGAAAGGTGAAGCTGTATAAATTAAATCAGATACAGAACTGCTAATAACAAAGAAGTTCATAGTTTACTCGGGTACATTTAGTGGTTTGGATTCTGTTAATGGTTTGTTATGCTCAGTAATATTGATTCTTTTGGCAGTGTAGGTCAGTACCACTCCCCGCTAGCTAAAAAATCGCCTTAAAACTTGTTGGTGAGAGAAGTGACATTTTTTACACAACAGTTTGCTGACAGCTGACTTCAGAACTGAGAAAGCAGGATCATCAACAGCAGATAACACGGAGCCTCAAAACACTGGCTAGGAATTTCACAACTGGGCGACTTAGATTCCCTGCTTTTCACTATATTTTTAGACAGTTGGCGAATGAAATGTAAAATTCAGTTTGATCTAAAACATTCACAAACATGAATGTATACACACACATATATACATACACACATATATATATATTATATATACATACAGAGGCGCAGCTAGAAAAGGGTGGCCAGGCAATAACCAGTGTACACTGAGGGGTGGCAGATAGTGGATAGATGCAAGAACCTCAGACTCAATCTACACTGTTCTACCAGGAAAAATTAACAAGCAAAACATCCACATTTTCAAAATAAAGACAAACTTCACTTTCCTACAGCCTTTGCTAACATATAGATGTTAAGTATCCATGCTTTGTATATAAAAGGTATAGTGAATAAAATTCTTTCAGGTTTCAGTTCTGGGGCGAACATCTTTTTCTTTCTCAATACTTTTATCTATGATAATTCTGAGTAAAACTGATATTTACAGGTACTTACACCTACCTAAATCATTTTATTAAAATAGTTTTATCTATGATTTCACTGAGGATTCCTAGATGACTTGAAGAAACATTTTATTTTTATCATTTTACCCCATATATAACACAAAATGTAGTTCTGAAAAGAGCATGAATTCTGTACTTATCTTTAATTTTAGTATACTGATGCAATAATTAACCACCAAAAAAATTTAATGTTTTGAATATGCCACTTGAGAGTATTACTGCTGCCACCATCTGTATTAGAGAGGGGGAAAAAATTCTAGCGGTGGCCCCTTGCCCCCCATCTAGCTCCGCCCCATATGTTAGCTATGGATACTTGCCTTACAACTAGCCAGCAAAAAATATACTATATTCAGCTAAATATATTTTTCACAGATATATCAGTGTATAATTCGTTTAAATGATTTCTATGCTTTATTTGAATTGCATAAATAAGGATACTGATAACATATTCCTTCACCATAACAGCACACTATTGAGTACATAAAAAGGCAAGTATTTAACTATGAAGCTTTGGCGTCAACTAACCCATACATTTAATATCATGTTAAAATGGATAAATGCTTTTTTTTTTCTTCAAATATAGCATGCAGATGAGCGTGACTAGGTTCGTTTTTCTCTAATATTACCCTCAGCGTCTTACCCTTTTTGAATGATTGGCTTTTACAGACGGACCTCTCGGATGCGGTGCTTATGCTCATGCCCAGACACGTAGACGGTGACTTCATCCTCATCTTTCAGCGCACGTCCAGCGGCTTTAGTGGCTGTGCAAGAATGGATGGATGCATCTAACGCCGAGAAAACCAGCCTGTCTCTGTCAATTATCGCTTTTGACATTTGTGTTGAGATTTCTGCAGATGCTCCAGGAAACCTGTTTTTTTTTTTTTTTTTTTTTGCCAGCATGCTGCGGTGCTTGTGCAGGAGCTGCTGAGGACATTTTTCTTTATTATTTCTTCTTGGCAGAGGCGCCTTCACTCACTGCTGCCTCAAAGGGAAGGAAGAGCAGAAAACAGATGATCATGACGGACCCGCGATCAATTTACAGGTAATTTGACTTTGTTGTTATTTTGAGCGATTTGAACGGGTTGCATCCATTAGGAAAACGGTGATGTGCATTTTTTCTTTTTAATTACAGCAGGCAGTAGGGGATTTTATATGTTCTACATGGATAATTATCCAAAATCAGTCATGCATTCTAATCTGCAGAACATACAGACCTTTAAGCCCCAATAAGAGATATTAATGAATATTGAATAGTAAAGTATATATATATATATATATATATATATATATATATATATATATATATATATATATATATATATATATATATACTTAATCAGTTTAATCAGTACCATAACTGCTGTTATCTCTTCTAGGATTAACAAAGGACATAGATTCTGAGATGTTCTCCTTCCATGTAGAGGAATACTGCTGAACCTGATGACAGTGGAATCCATGTAAGCCTCCAACAATACAATGAACAACACTCTCTCACCATCAGACCTGGTGGATATGCCAAGACAGCAGAGCTTCAATAGCACCGGAGGTATACAGACGCCTTCAGGTTGGGCCGTGATTCACACTGCCACCTTGACCTTTTGCTCCCTGCTCCTCATCTTCATTTTCTTCCTGGGCTCCTACGGTAACCTTGTGGTGTTCTTGTCTTTTTTCGACCCGGCCTTTCGCAAGTTCCGCACCAATTTTGACTTCATGATCCTCAACCTGTCTTTCTGTGACCTGTTCATTTGCTGTGTGACAGCTCCCATGTTTGCGCTGGTGCTCTTTCTGGACGCAGGAGCAGACGACGGGGTGTCAAAAAGTTTCTGCTTTGCCTTCCACCTCACTAGCTCTGGCTTCATCATCATGTCTCTGGAGACAGTGGCAGTGATCGCCCTGCACAGGCTCCGCATGGTTTTGGGGCAGCAACCTAACCGGACAGCTTCGTTCCTTTGCACTCTGGCCCTTACTGCCCTTCTGTGGACGTCCAGCTTCACCATGGCTGCTCTCCTTACCATGCGTGCATACCCACGCAGGGATGGGCCCTGCTTGCCACACTTTGGACTTGGAAGTGGACAAGCTAGAGTTGTGCTATACGTTTATCTGGCAGACTTTGCGTTTTGCGTTTCTGTGGTGTCTGTATCCTATCTCATGATTGCAAGGACACTAAAGAAAAATGCACAGGTGAGAAAATGTCCCATTATCAGTGTCGATGCCACATGTCCACCACAGCCTGCACCTCTGATTGCAGCAGGCTTTGAGAGCATGCAGTGTGCTGTTCAAGGCCCTCCTTTGTACCGCAACCAGACGTACAACAAATTGCAGAATGTACAGACACATGCTTATGCAAACAGGATCAGCCAGCCTGTAGTTCCAGGAGCAGCCCAAGGAGCCACCTGCTGTCAGATGGTCTCTTCCGTCAACTTAGCCACAGCCAAAGACTCAAAGGCAGTTGTCACTTGTGTGGTTATTGTGTTCTCTGTTCTGCTTTGCTGCTTGCCAATGGGAGTTTCACTGGCGCAGGACGTTTTGTCACCAAAAAGCAACTTTACACATTACCAGTTTGAACTCTGCGGCTTTGTGCTCATTTTTCTCAAATCGGGCATCAACCCCTTCGTATACTCACGCAACAGTGCAGGTCTTCGTCGCCGGGTGCTCTGCTGTGTTCAGTGGGCTGCACTGGGCCTTCTCTGTTGCAAGCAAAAGACTCGGCTTCACGCGATGGGGAAGGGCAGCTTGGAAGTCAATCGCAATAAATCTTCCCATCATGAAACAAACTCAGCGTATGTACTTTCCCCGAAGCCACCCAGGAGGCTGGTAGACCAGGCCTGCGGGCCCAGTCGCTCTAGGGAGTGTGACAGTAGCCCGAGGGCCACAGTGGTGCGGAAACCTCGCTTACCAAGCACTTCTACGCCGATGAACACCCGCATTGAGCCGTACTACAGTATTTACAACAGCAGTCCCTCAGCAGGACCTAGTTCCCCCACCAGCCTGCAGCCTGTCGGCTCTCAGACGTTTGCTTTTGTCAAATCTTATGTAGCCATGCACTACCACACTCACCAAGATGCATTGCAAGACTTTGACAGCACCTCAGCACAACAGATTCCCATTCCTTCAGTTTGAAATGTTTGGTCAGTTTTACCATGGCTTTAAATTCATTGCCAACAGGTTCATTTAATGCATTAGAATCAGCCATTTCATTCTCTTTGGCAGTTTGTCAGGATTATAAGCTTTGCCACTGATGCTATAATGAAATAAACCTTATTAGAAAGTTTATGAGTTTTGCACTCAAGGATGCAGTTTCACAGACACCTTGTGCATGCAAGTGCCACTATCTCACACAAGTCTAAAGGTTTCATTTTTACTTTTAGTCTAAGACAACAGCTAGTTGAACTGTTGCAACTTCAGGCTACCAACATACCCTGCATAAGTCCACACAGCTGTCAGTGGAATGTTTTTGCACCTTGATGAACTTTTTGCTTAAGAAAATGTATTCGTGAACCTCATAGTTTTTAACTTAATAAATGGTTAGCAATCGCTTTGGATGAGTGGTTTGGCTTATTTTTTCGAAATAAAGTTTTGATTTAATTAGTCATATATCTAGAATCTTCACCAACATCTAGAAAAAATATGGAACCCAACTCAACTGGATTTCTGTATTTTTTGATTAACTGATATACTAATGATGGAGTAGATTTGTCAATTACTGGACAGTGGTGATAACAATTGAAAGAACATTAGCACCACCTAGTGGTTGTAACCTTCCATAAGATCTACATATTTTAATAAATAAACCTGATTTTTAAACTTTTACGGAAATAATCCTGACACGTTTTCCTTGATTTGGTATACAAAGAAATCTGTTATCAGCTTGTGTAGTAACACAACAAATAAAATCCCATGTCATTTTATTTTTTGCGACATTCCATTGGTTTTTACACAGTCATACAGCAGCGATAGGATTCTCCAGTGTGCGTTTTCATAAAAAACCACAGAAAACCGTTAAACCGACTTACATTCTCTACATTGTTTGTTTGGTTTTTTTCTCTATGAAACACCAAACTTTCCTGTTTGTTCACATCATGCTCTCATGCATAACTTACACTCACTCTGTAAATTGGCACCACACTTGCTCTTCCTGTTGTAGAGTTTATAAACTTTTTTTCTATCAATGGACACAAATATCCAGTCTATGGAGGACCAACTCTGCCATATCTATAAATAAATGCTCAATAAATAAGCATACAATTTATTGCCCCTCAAAAATACAATAAACAAATAAATGTAGGTAGAAATTAAATTATAGAGTGAGACATAAATGTATACATCTCTTTAATTAGCTTCTTTATTTATTCGCCTTTGTAATAATTACCTTATTTATTGTCCGTTATAACCTTCAACTTTATTTATTGCTTATTTTTTAAGTATTTATTATTGTGCATGATATATTTTTGTCTGTTTTATGTCTGCGTTTGTTTTACCCCCTTTATTTCTTCAATATTTTTTCTGCCTGTCGTTTTTAAATTTCTGTATGCCTTTCTGCCTCATTATGCAAATGAGGAACGGTGTGTCTTAGAAAGTCAACTTCCGCTCATTATGACGGACAATAAATAAATGACATACTTATTACAAAGGCGAATGAATAAAGAAGCTAATTAAAAGAGATATATACATTTATGTCTCCTGTATAGTACATTTTTTTTAACCTACATTTGTTTATTTATTGTATTTTTGGGAGCAATTGATTGTATGCTTATTTATATATTGAGCATTTTATTTATATTTCTATTTATTTTTAAATATGGCAGAGTTGGTCCTCCATACCGGTTAAGGAGTGAATTACTTTAAAAAGCTCTCTCAAACACACACAGAAATGTACTTCAGAGAAAATAAAACCATTGTGAGTCAGTTCCACTGATAAAAAAAAAAAAAAAGACTAATTTTGTCTTGTTTGCAATTGATCAACTCAAAGAGAAGCATAGATATGAAGTATGGGAATTATATCCACTGCCTTTTAAGGCATTAGTCCCTTTTCAATCATCAACAGCTTAGGTTGTATCATATGCTGCTTGCAATGCCTGGCATGGACCGGCGCTCCTGGGCAATATGGTGTCCAGCTTTACAATCGGGTTCAACCACAGTTTTGGCTTTCATCACATTGAAAGTCTTTTCTTTCACCAGAGGGTCCTCTGTTTTACAAGTGTCCTCTCATCCTTCATGCATCACTGCTGGATCATCACAGGATCTTTTCATCTTAACTGGGGATTGACAGAAGCCCCTGTTCATCAGCGGTGTCAAGAATTCTGCAAATGACCGGCGACTCGACCTAAGCAGAAGATCAATAAAACAAGCAGATGTCAGTAAGATGACGATTTAACTTATCTTCAATAAAACTTGCATTCCCATCAAAAATTTTCTATCATATACTTTCAAATTTAAAAAAAATCTAAATAACTTTAGGATTCCGAACAAGTCATTTACTGAAATTCTCCAATTAATGGTCATAGATATGATTTTATATAATATATAGAAGATTTTGCTATTAGTTTTCCATAATATATCAAATATTGCTTGTTGTCTATAGTAAGAAATATGCAATGTAATAAGGTGTGTATGTATGGGACACTGTGTCCTGTATAACTAGGATACATATACACATATATATATATCAGATATTTACATGTACTTTAAAACAATTCCCTATTTCCTGCTCAGTGGCTGACCTCCTGCAGGCCAGTCTTTTATTTTTCTATAGGTACATACAGTGCCATCCATAATTATTGGCACCCCTGTTTAAGATACTGTCGAGGACTTATAAAACAACATAGAACCCAGATGAAAATAAAAATCACGTATTAACAAAAAAAAAATTGAAATCTTGTGTCCCACAATTATTGGCATCCCTAACATTTCAGCTAAAACATTTAATTGATTTCCTCTTAAATATATTATTCTGAATTTGTTAAAGTTAGTCAGGGTATTTAGGAACTTTTTATTAATAATTCATGACCTTCTGTTTCCCTGGGGTATAACTATGACGTGACACAGAGGCATAATTCTCTTACATGGCAAACACAAGAGAACACACCATTCAAGTAAGGCAGATGTGTTTCAACCTTCATAAATCAGCCAATGACTACAAGAAAACAGCCACTTGCCTTAACTTACCTGTATCTACAGTCAGAGGAATCATTAAGAAGTTTAAAACTAGGGATGCACGATATAATCGGCCCCCTATCGGTATCGGTCTGTATCGGCCTTAAAACTGAAAATCGGACATCGGCCACCCCACCGATATTTAACCCGATATTTGATCAGCTTCTGAGTTTCTAAAGTCTAAAAAAAAAAAAAATTCTACTTCTTCTTCTTCCTCAAAAACTTCTTTTTTACAGACTTAAAAACTTCTAAAGACGAGGGAAAAAATATTGATATATTAAAATATCACAATATCTTCATATGCTGATATATTGCCATTTAAAAACACCATATCAAACTCTTTTACTAATGAAATATTGCTATATGTCATCGTTATGCTATGAAATCCCCCGAAAATTCACGAAATCTTGCCATATTTTTATATGTTGATATATTGACGCTGTATCGATCTATTTTACTAACAAAATCTCACAAGAATTTGCAAAATATCACGAGAGTTTGTAACAGAACGATGAAATTTCACGAGATTTTGAAAGTAAAAGAGATCGATACCGCGTTTTTAAAAATCAATTTGATATCAGCATATGAAAATATATTTGAGTATATTATTTGTGTCAGAAATGGATAACAAAACTGCTATTTTCAATGACTACTTATTTTTGTCCAGCTTTAACATCGGTATCGATATCGGTTATCGGCTACATGAGTTTTAAAATATCGGCCAAAATCCCAATATCGTGCATCCCTATTTAAAACAACTAGAACAGTGACAGGCTGGAAGAAGTCCCAAGTATATCTTGCCACAGGGCACAGTGAGGAGGATGGTAAGAGAAGTAAAAACAAGTCCGAAGCTCACCGTCTCTGTATTGCATCAAAGAGTGGAATATTTGAGTCGCAAAGTCTCCAAATCAACTATCAGAAGCTCTCTACATGCTAACCAGCTGTTTTGGGAAACATGTAAGGAAAAGCTAAGCAGCACTGGGACTTTAACTGGGATGTGTGCTTTGGTCAGATGAGATTAAGATTCAGCTTTTTGGCAACAAACACTAAGTGGGTCTGGTGTAAAAAAAAGAAAAGACGAGTATGCCAAAAAGCACCTCATGCCCACTGTGAAGTATGGTGGAGGATGTGTGATGCTGTGGGCCTGTTTCTCTTCCAAAGGCCCTGGGAACCTTGTTAGGGTACATATAACTATGAACGCTTTCAAATACCAGGACATTTAAATAAAAACTTGATGGCCTCTGCCATAAAGCTGAAGATGGGTCTTCATTGGGTTCTTCAGCAGGATAATGATCCAAAACACGTGGCAAAATCTACACAAAAATGGTTCAGTAGTCACAAAATCAAGGTTCTCCCATGGCCATCTGAGTCAACAGACATCAACCCAATCGAAAGCCTGTGAGTTTAGCTAAAGAGGAGAGTGCATAATAGAGGACCCAGGATCCTGGATGATCTAGAAATATTAGGCAAAGAAGAATGGTCAAAGACCGCTCTCTCCGTGTTCCCCAATCTTGTGAAATGTTATAGGAGAATAAGTGCTGTCTTCTGCAAACAGGGATTGTACAAAGTATTAACATCAGGGGTGCCAATAGTTGTGGGACACATGATTTCATTCTTTTTTTCCCCCATAAATGTGGGATTGTATTTTAACCACCAAGTAATCTACTTAAATAAAAGGTAGAATTTTTCTATTTTTCCATTTCAGTTCTATGTTGTTTAACTCTAAACACCCAACAGAATTTGAAGCAATCCTCAACCATTTTGCATACCCAAATGGAAAAGCAAATAACTGAAGAACTGTAAGTCCACATTACATGTGTGATACATTATTTGAAAGCTAACACCTTCTAGTTTCTGGAAATATAAATGAAAATAGTTTGAGTGAAACACAACCCAAGCTGCATCAGTTCAAACATGACTCAAAGTTGTTTTTTATATTCTCGAAAATAATTGGTATTTTCTGAACAGTATAAATAAAGACATGCTTGGGAATAGGCATGTCTCATTTGTATTTATTTTCTTTACATTTGTTTTACATTATTTCAACCACAAATGCAGAAAATTTCAGAGCTCTAGCTACAACAGTTCCAGAGCTGTGGGGTTTTGAACTTTTGGTCACCAGCGTCTCCAAATCTCTCCAGATTGTGCCAAATGCCTTTACTCAACTATTTGACCCATAGAATAACACTGAAGCATTTTGGTGGCCACAAAACATTTATGAAGTAAGTATTTTGTTTCACCTTTTTTCAGAGTCAGCGTATATAACAAAATGTGACATTTATAAACCAAAAATATCTTAAAAGTCTATAGAAAAAAAAAAAACTGCTGCTTTTTAGGCAAAAAAAAAATGCCCCAGTGCCTTTTCTTAGCTGTATTTTGCTTTGTTTCTTTTTCAGCCTTAGGCATTGTAATAAAACAAAATCAGCATCGAAACTTCAAAAATATCGGAGTGTTGTTAGCATTCAGCTTCAAACTGTGCTCATTGATCCAGTCTCAGCAATGTATTTCACTCTTACGCAAGCCACTTACACAGCTCTGCTTTATTCAACCCAGCCATGTCTAGGCTTGTTTAAAACCTTATTTTATCGTCTACAAAGCCAAACAGCCCACATTGTCTTAACCAATAACAGCATGACTCTATGAGGTGTAATATCGCTCTTTAAATTAGACATGTTATGTCTAATTGTTATGTCCAATTTAAAAATCAAGTTAAAATAAAGCAAAATACATATATGGGTCAAGTTAGTTATATACATAAATGTAAATATCAGTTTAAGCAAATAAATAAATAGGATTTTGAATGATGATCAACATAGGATTGTTTTTAGGCTAATACGCCTGTCATTTTTGAAAATGAAGTCAGTCAAAAGCTTCTTTTAATAGTATGTCAGTGGATCATTCAGGCTGTGAGGGAGTTGAAGAGAAAGACATTTAACAGGTTAGAAGTTTAATTTTTCAAGCTGTTAACTTCAGTCAGTCATAAAATATATTGGATTTGGAAAGATTTGCAGGTTCTTTTGAAATCTTAGAGTTAGAGTAAATTAAGTTATACATGATCTCTATGTCAATACACCAACACTACTGTTTTATTTATCCTAGCCAAATGAAATGCGCTGAACATGAACGGCCACAGACAGATTCACACATTAAAGTCATTTAGTTTTGTGTTATTTGGTAAAACCCTTGCTTTACAGCACATTTTCTCTCACTCAGGGCCCGGTATCCATCATACAGGCCTGTTTAGACCGATCAGCTGTAGGAGAGTTCTGGTGGTTCCAAACTTGTACCAATTCCTAATGATGGACGCCACTGTTCTCACTGCGGCTTTCAGAGCAGCAGAAAAATTTCTGTATCGACATGACAGTGCTGCTTCTGAGTTCTACACTATTCCCCCGACATCATGCTTTGTGTGTGTGCTCTGACATGCAATGTCAACTGTGGGATCTTATATAGACACTGTCATAATCGGGCATTGTGGGTAAAATTTTGAAGAAAGATTAATTTAATACCATTAGGGATAAGTCTGAAACCCCAAGTGTTTAAAAAGTGCAGCACTCCTAATATTTTCAGGATGCCCTGTTTGATTATTTCAATATCAGTGCAACAAGCGACCTTACCCCAAGTATATATTGGCAGGTCTGAGGTTCCATCATGTAGACGGTGACAGCATGGGGAGACTCCGATTCCTTACATCTGCCAAATAGAAATCCTAAATTAAATCTAAATATTAACATTCTATGACTAGGAGACTTGTGTCGTTTTGTTTGGTTATTTATTCCTCCAGTAGACCCTTGACTTACTTGAGCTTCACAATGACCTGTCTGGGTTTTCCTGTCAAATCGCATAAATCCCCACGTCCATAAAAGTGGGATACGACCCTATGATGATGCAAAAAAAAAGGAAAATAAAGGATAAAAGCTAACAGTAGTAATTTGGATTTCTGGTTATTTAGAGCAACACTAAATGGCTTACTTTACTTTCTGTGCTCCGTCTTCTTTAAGCTGATAGGATCTGGCTACGTTCTTCTTCGCCCACTCAATGTGCTCCTCTGCATTCCAGTTCCCCACCACTACAATGTTCTTCCCTTGCTCTTTGTCCTGCGACACAAGGAAGCATTTGAAAAAAATGGAAAAAATGCAACCAAATTCCTACAGAATTACCTCTATTGGAGAAAATACTGTTGAAGCCTTTTAACCACAGAGGCACTGATCAAGTGTTTACTGTTGTCTTAAGAGGTTTGACTTATTGATATAAAAATCTATTTCTTCAGAAATATTTTATACAAGAAAATACCTTGAAGACAAAGTCATTTGGAGTTAAACTTCCAAACAAAAAGTGCATCACAAAATGTGCTGTTTGAACTGTTAAGGAAACCATTGTCATCTTAGTATCTCACCTGCTGACTAATAATTAGCAGGTCAAAAGCTATTTAAATGTCTGGCTGATTGATTTCTGCCTTTTATGACAAAAAAAAAAACTTGATTATTAAAGATGGATGCATCAGAACCTTAAAGTTAATTAAAAACCCCTTTATAAAGCTTTGACCAGCCCATACAGATGTTATATCTATTCTGAATTCTGGGAACCATATATGATCCAAAAAGATGATTTGAGTGTCCAGATATAATGCTAAAGATCCCACTAGACCCATCGATAGCCATTAACACAAATCATATTAAAGGGTTATTTCATTCAGCCTCTTATTCTCTCCAGGCTTTGGTGATCAACAGACATGTCTCCAATGTTGAATAAAACTCGCTTTTACTCAAATGATCTTACCTCATGGTACTGGTGGACATGTTTTCCATAACAGAACTCATATTTCCACCAGCCTACACCCTGAAACACACATGAAGATGATTACAGATTCCAGAGGAGTTCCAGAAATGATCTTTATGTGATAAAAGAAAACAGGTCTCACCCCTTGCAGACAATACGAGCCGCTGAGGAACTCCTTGATCAGCTGCTCGTCTGTCAAACGCGAGATATGAGTGGTGCCAACTGTGACCTGTACCTGCCCTCCCACATTCATGGGTTTGTGAGTGGAGGGGAAAGCTTCCTCTCTGACTGGTGATACGTCCTCCTGTGACAGAAAAAAAAAAACATTATCAAACTCAAAATATGATTGTTTTTTTTGTTTTTCATTTTCTTCGATTCTCTCACTTCTCTGGTGTTGGCATTAGTGCTAAATGGTGGTCTAAGTAGCTCCTCCTGCTCTTTGTCTAACTGAATAAGCCGCTGAGGCCGCAGGGGGGAGCCCTCCAGAGCCTGGCAGAAGATGGCATTCACCGGGGAGGATTTGAACCTAACAGAACAATGTTAGGTCAAGTTAGGAAAAAGGCAACACTCCAGCTTTCTCCTACTGAGAGCATTCTTTACATCCTACCTGTACTTTGGGTGAGCACACAGCAGAGGCGTCAACACCACAACCTCATATTCACAGGTGGTGACCTCGGCGATGGAAAGGATCTCATGCTTGGCTTCAGGGTGACAGACATACAACACGGCAGTGGAGCGTGGCTGGTTCCGCTTCAGCGTACAAGGAGTCCCGTTTCCCATTTCCACAGCATAGTATGGAGTCAGCTGACCTTCAATGTTTTTGGTGGGAACCTACCAACAATACATCAATCAGGAAACAAGTGTGAGCAAAAATTTCTCTTGTTAATTCATTTGCTTTAGCTTTAGTACTGTTTTTACTTCTCTTTGTTGAGTTGTTTTGGCGTTTTCTTTCTCCTCAACTTGATCTAAAAAATTTCAACCAACTCAAATGAGTTTTAATTTGGTTCTTTTTGAAGACCAAAAAACATACAAACATGGAGGCATACCTGTATCAGAAGACTGACTCCTCTGTACCATATTCCCCAGATAATACTCTTGAACATTGATCTTCTGTAAAAGCACAGATGATCACCTTCAGGATAAATTCTCATTTATTTCACCTGATAGCTAATAATGACCCACTAACCTGCCCAGTCTCCTTCTCTTCATGATATTGCCTGACATGCTTCCCATGGCATACTTCATATGTCCAGTAAGACTCAATCTGCAGGGTTTCATTCAAAATAAAGCATTTTACACACTTTTAAAACTGAGGTATTTTTGTTTTGTCATGGTCTGCTAACGTTGCATGAAAGTCTAACTAAACACAGTTTCAGTTTTATGTCTCACCCTGTAGGAGCAGCTGCTTCGTTTGAACAGCGGCTCAAGAAGGTCACCCGGACTGGGACCGCCGTACCCCTTATCATCATCCTGAGACCCAAAGCGTGAAATTAGTTATGCAACACTTCCCTGAATAAAACATCAGTTCATTTAAAGGTTTCCATGCAACAAAACGAATGCTCCCATATAGATCTTCTGTGCTTCAGTTTGATGCAACTTTAGCTGTAGATCAACTTTCAGTTTTCCTGTTTCATTTAAACAAGACCAAATGAATGTCACGTATAAGTGTTTAAAATGAAATTGGGATCTTAGCTATAATAAAGACAATTAACAGAAAGTTCTAAACAAACAACTAGATACACCAGAAGCCTTTATGGGAAAGCAAAACAAAACTAAAAAAGAGTCAAAGCTTTAAAAAGGCTGAGGAATCATCATCTTTTTGAAAAATGAAATAAAATTAATTGATTGCATCCGAGTATGAATCAGGAAAATACCTAACATTCACTCTCTTTGTAAAACTTTAAAGACTCTGGAAATCCATCCAGAAAATTCTTCACAGAAACTAAAAAAATGCTAATTAACAGTTTCAACGACAGTTTTAAAGAGATTATATACATAAGACCTTTTTAAAGTTTATTCTGCTAATGTTATCAGTTGTAATGTTTAATTAAATCAACTGACTTACAAAAATATTGGTTTTATTCAGCTCAGATATTTTGCTAGACACATTTATTTTTCCATTTATTAGTATGAAACTAAAAAAGCTGTCCAAAGGAATTCTATACTTTTTCAAATTATATAACTAAATTATTTGCATCACAGAAATGCATCGTCACACTTCTGTTCTCTACATATTTATATTTCTCTCTCTTACTTTTAAACTTTTTTTTTGTAATGAATAGTTTTTTATGTCTAACTTGATAAAAACTCCAAGTAATATCTTGTTTTTAAACAAAGTGACAGTTTACTAATTGATCAGTTGCTTTAGATCAAATCACACACCCTTAAACAACTTAAAGGGTGTTTTAATAGTGTTTTTTTCTTTTTCTTTTAGGTTTGATTTAAAACTAAATGCTACTGAGTATTTCTAGCATCTGCACAACCATAAGACTTCCTTAAAAAGTAATTCAATAATCATATAAACAGGGGCGGAGCTAGATGGGGGGCCACGGGGGGCCCATGGCCACCCCTACCATTTATTTCCCTCTAATAGAGATGATGGCAGCAGTAATACTCTCAAAGGGAATATTCAAAACATTTTTCATATATTAATAATTACTTTACAACAAAAACTCTGGTTAATTATGCACATCAATATACTAACATTAAAGATGATAAGCACAGAATGCACACTCTTCAGAAATAGATTTTGTTTTATGGGGTAAAGAGACAATGTCTCTGCAAGTCACTTAGGAGTCCTCAGTGAAATCATAGATAAATAACTGTTTTAATAAAAATGTATTAAATAATCAATTTATGTAGATATTAGTGCTTGTAAAAATCAATTTTATGCAGAATGATTATTGATAAAAGTAGGTAAGCAATGACAATGGAAATGATGCTTGCCCAAAACTCAAACCTGGAAGAATTTTATCCACTATACCTTTTATCTAGAAAGCACGGATGTTTGAATATATGCAACTATTTGTTAGAAAAGGCTGTGGAAACGTATAGTTTTTCTTTATTTAGAAAATATGGATGTTTTGCTCATTAATTTTCCTGTTGGAACAGTGGAGATTGAGGTTTTGGTGCCCCCTCAGTCTACATTGTTTATTGCCTGGGCACCCTTATAAAAATTTTATAGCTACGCCTCTGCATATCAAGTCACGTGGACAAACAGTTTATTTAAACAAGGAAGGAAGGGAGGAAGGAAGGGAGGGATGCTTTGTTAGGGTAAGTACATATAAAAGGTAGACTGTTTACACCCGGAAGCTTAACCAAATGATATTGCTCACCTGTTCCCCAGCTGTCAGTGAAGGCAGCAAACATTTGTACTTCTCCTTCTCTGTTGTTGTCATGATAACAAAGTTATCTTCGCTGTATAATGCACCTGAATCTGGCTGTAAAGTGAACATATGCATCAAATAACGTTCGGCAGGCAAAAAGGTTGATGTATTATCTGATTGTTACAGATTAAAATCAAAGTAGTATAAATCAAGTAGCCTACCAGACTGAATTCAGAACCCGGCCAGCTAATTTTAAAAGGAATTTCATCAGTAAATGAATGATATCCCCCTCTGTTTGCAGAAACTCCACTGCAGTCCCCCAGCAGGAGGAGTAGGAGCAGCCCAGCCATCAGCTCTCCAACACAGCTGCTTAGTTCCTGCAGCTCCCTCCGCATAGCCGCTGAAAGCTTCTTTACTTCCCACTTAGTTCGGCTGAATAAACCGCTTCAGAGACACTTCGATATGGCAAACGTTGGGGATGAAGTGGGCCGGATGTCAACATTACACCGAGCAGAGGAAGTGATCTGTGTGGCTGCCACGTCGTGTTCCGCCTTGGTGTTATGCAAAGTAGCGACACTGCCCCCTGGTGGCAAAAGTAGTACCGCAGAAATAATTAATAACTGAATAAATGCCTGAGGTATGGAGGACCAACTCTGTCATATCTAAAAATAAATTTAGACTAGAAAAAGCTGTTTCGCAGAAACAGCAAAGTGGGAATGCTTTTTTTGCTGAACAAAATAATAAAAATAAGCAAAAGAAACTGCAAGAAGGAAAAGAAGCACAAATTAGTTGAGGAACATATGAACATGTGATAGGAAGTCATCAGAAACTTCAAACTGCAGAAAACATTTGAATCATCTGAAGATTTTGTAGGGTAGAATCATTTGGCAGTAAAATGGTAGAAAGAGACTCATCTTGAAAGCTGCACAGCCAAACCATACATGATATCAAAAAAATTCTTAACCTCTTACACCCTAAGGGGGTATAAATAAATTTCTGCCTGACAAAAACACACAAAAGTGAATAACTTATTGCCTCAAAGCTATTAGATTTAAGAAGAAACTTTTGGTACGTCTGTAAAGGTAAGATGTCATAGAATGGTTTTCTGGTGTCAGCACCATTGTAGCTTTGACCCTGCCTGAAATATTAGGGACAAAATACAAAAATTTTGCATTTTTTGAACCTCGCCAAAATTTTCTTTGAAATAAACATTGCAAAACGCTACCAAAATATTATTTATAGCACAAAAAAGTAGTACAGACTTTCAAATCTAAATGTTGTGTAAAAATATATATCAAATGTGGACTCAATCAGATGAATCATATTTATTTTAGAATGGTATTAGTGAGAAATTTCTTAGGCGGAGAGGCCATTTTGGCATATTTATCCATAAATGTCACCAAACTGTGCCAAATATGTTTTTTACATCAATACTGGGGGTTTGGTAAAACTACGAGGTCATGTAGCAGCTGGACCCGCCGGTGGGTCTGTAGGGTTCAAGGGGATGTGGGCACTAGAAGGGTCTAAATGTAATGTATCCCAAGTTTCTAGAAAAAGTTCTAAAGAAATTTTGAAGGGGTCCACCTACTTTCCAGAAACATGTCAGGCGTGTTATGAATTAGCAGCAAACAGAAAAGCTTAATTCCTCTCCAGAAAGAGAGCAGAATGAAGCCAAAGTTCACAACATAGGCTGAAAAGTATGAAATTAGCTGAATTAGAAAAGAAATTACAAAGAAAAACTTGAATCTTATCTGGTTATAGAAAAAAGTAGTAGCTTAAGGATGGGAAATAAAATGTAGAGGAAGATGGTATTGAATAAGTATCAAAATTTTGAAATCATACGTGGAAATGTCAAGACTTGGCAAAACAATTTGAAATGATTTAAAATGTGTCGGTTGATCAGCATAAAGAAAACAGTATCATCATTTAAGGATTGAAAATCTACAAACCTATGTGCAAGACTGACCCTTAGAAGCAGAGGAAGGACAGAGAGAGAAGCTTATAGAAAGACAGCTAATACCACTTAAGGAGCTGAATTTACCAAAAAAACTAACTTGCATGTTATGAGCCGCTGTGGTGATGAAAGCACCGTTGGCAGGTTTAGACTGCATGTTACGAGGTTAGCAGATGCTTTATTACAGTGTAAATCTTAGAACCTGATTAAGAAATATGCACTGAGGTGTGTGGTCAACAGGCCTTGGTAGTGTAATTTGAAGAAATTCGTTGAGTTTGGGTCATAGCTATGAGCAATACGGCACAATGAATGAGTGTGCGTAAGGAAGAGGCTTTTATTTTGAAATTTGCTGTGGGGTGTGTTTAGAAAAGCCCCCTAGAGTCTAATTTTTAAAAAGTGGTTGAGTTTGGGTCATAATGTTCAGCCATATGCTGGGAAAAAAATATGAGTTTGTGTAGGGGCTTTTATTTTGTAGGGTCCCTGGACTCTTACTTTGAAAGTCTATCAGGGTTGCATGTGAAGGGAAGGGTCCTGGCCAGTAGTCATATTATATCCATTTCCAAATGTTAAATCAGTGTTGTCTCCCTCCATTAGATTAAAATGTGCTGTTTAAAGTGGCAGAGGTAAAATCCCTTTGAAGCTCGGTTACCTTGACAACGATTAACGAGCCTGTCAGTGAAAGAGAGAAATGCGCTTCACTTTCGTTCCTTTCCTCTCAGGCTTTTTTGAATAGGAAAATCAATTCCGAACAAACGAGTGCTGAAGACAAACCGTAAATGGTATCTAGAAAATTCTTTCAGTCTAAGCGACAGCTATCCTTTGTCTCCGATTGGAATAACGTTCATGGCTGTAGCTCATTCATAACCTTAATGGGAAGGAGAAATATAAAGGTTTGTAAATCCTGCTGGTCTCATTAAATAACATGGAGTTCCATGGTAGAGCTGAGCTGTCAAAAGCAAAACTTTCCCTCAGAACAAACGAGCGAGGAGCCAAAACCGTAAAAGGTATTCAAAAAATTCTTTCACTGTTGGCGTCAGCCATCCTTCGGCTTCGACTGTGCCAACTTTCATGTTTCTACTAAAAACTATTTGGCCACGGTGACGATGTAAAAATGTGCATTTTCTGAGTTTGAGGATTTTTCTCAGAATCAGGATTTTCCTATGCCCTAACAAGTCAGCTAAACAGCGAAACCATAAATGATATTGAAAAAATTCCTTCAATGTGAGTGCTAGAAGGGTATGAAGATGATCTATACCGAGTTATATGTTAGTACATCAAATGGTTATGAAATGGGAGCGATACGAAAATATGAATCGTTTTTGGTTTTGTCTGTGATTTTTGGAAAGTCTCTCATTGGATTTCTATTGGCGAAGTGTGGACTTCTTCGTGGTCTTGGCCAAACTGTCGGAAAACTATAAATGCCACACACATGAGGGTTACATTTCCTGAATCCTGACAAAAAACCCTACATTTTGATGTATAATTTATTTCAATTGAGTGAAAAATGAGGGAGTGAGAAGAATTTGTTCGGAAAAACCAGAACAGCTCAAAAGCTAGAGCACGCACTCTAGCAGTTGAAGAATTCCGTCCATAGACTTCCATTATAAATCTGAAAATCTTAAAATTTTCTTTTAAAGTTTGAAGCTTCACTGAAGCAAAACTGTAAAAGTTAGCAAAAAGCTGAGTTAAACAGTAATAGCAGAAAGATACGGAAACATTTTAAAAGTTGAATGGTGTTTCTAGCTGAAAGTATGCTGAAGTAGTTAAAGGTCGAAGATGATAAAGTTTTAGCTGAATTTTGCTGAAATCTAAGAATTCTACATGCATTTCATTGGGGCAAAAAAAACGCAGAAAAAGCAGAATATCGCAAAAACTACAAAAAATATCTTTACCAAAAGACATAGCACAATTCTCCTGAACTAGCTGAACGTTTTGATACCAAAATTGTTGAAATCGGTTGAAAACTGCGGGACTAGTTAGAGTCAGAAAACTTTTAAGTGAACAACAATAAGTGGGAATGCATAAGCATAAATAAATGCTCAATAAATAAATAAGCATACAAGTAATTGCCCCCAAAATACAATAAACAAATAAATTTGTTGTTATAAATTAAATTATACAGTTAGACATAAATGTATATCTCTTTTAATTAGCTTCTGTATTTATTCGCCTTTTTAATAATTACCTTATTGATTTATTGTCCGTTATAATCTTCAACTTTATTTATTTATTCCTTATTTTTAAGTATTTATTTATGTGCATGATATTTTTTTTCTGTTTTATTCTGCCTTTCTATTTTTTTACCCTATTTATTTCTTCAACACTATTTATTTCTGCCTCTCGTTTTTACATTTCTTTATGCATTTCTGAGAAGAAGTGTGTATTAGAAAGTCAACTTCTTCTCATTATGACGGACAATAAATAAATAACGTAATTTTTACAAAGGTGAATAAATAAAGAAACTAAAAGAGATATGTGCCTTTATGTCTCACTGTATAATACATTTTTTACCTACATTTATTTATTTATTGTATTTTGGGGGGCAATTAATTGTATGCTTTTTTATTTATTGAGTATTTAATTATTTTGGTATTTATTATTAAATATGGCAGTTGGTCCTCCATACAGAGAGAAGTAACAGCAAATAAATGTAACAACCTGAAAAGTAGCTTTAGTACGTGGGAAAGTCATTCCAGCGTATACCATAGACATTATGTAAAATGAAAAAAAGCATCAACTTAAATCACGACACTGCAATTCTTTTTGGGAAAATGTAAAAAACTGCAAACCTTTTGGGATAATTAATTAAAAAATATCAACTTGACAGGTTTTTTTTGTGTTGGTTGTTTTTTTTTTTGGTTTTACACACAAATGGAGTAATAGTTCAAATAAATGTAACATCCCAGTATTAAAATAAATAGCAATAAAATTGTTTAATTGCTCCATGTTTCAATGACTTGTTTCAAACAAAATTTTCAAATGACAAAACTAAGTAACAACAGTTTCGATATTTATTTTAATTTTAGTTTGAACTGAAAGCATGCTAAGGCCTGCGCAGTGTGTATCTATTTTGCCTTGCAGAAAGAGGGTTCGATTCTCGGCGCTTGATGTTTCTGCATAGTGTCTCCATGTTCTCCCTGTGCATGTGTGGGTTCTCTCCGGGTACCCTGGCTTCCTCCCATAGTTCAAAAACATGACTGTTAATCGGCTTCTCTAAAATTGTCCTTAGTTTCAACTGTGTGGTTGCAGGGTTGTGTGTCTTTGTGTGTCTCTGTGTTGCACTGCGACACACTGGCAACCTGTCCAGGGTGTACATGTACCTGTATCTTGCACATATAGACTGCCAGAGATAGGCACCGGCCCCACTGCGACCCTGATGGATTGAGCTACAGAAGATAGATGGATGGAGGGTTGAAAACACTAAACTCTGCCTCTACTGAAAAAATCTGGAAATATAGGTCTGCTCTGAGGTAAATGCAGCATGCATGTCACACTTGTTTCTATGGGTGAAGCTCTGTTGGACGTGTCAAACGCAGCTGAATTGCATTTTAGTTGACATGCAAATAGGCAATACAATAAGTCTTTCCTCCATTT